ATTAAAATAATATTTTTTTATTTTTAAAAAATTATTTTAAATATCAACACATCAAAATAATATAAAAATATTAAAAAAATATTAATTTAAAAAAAAATAAAAAATTAATTTTTTTCATTGGCTATCACCATCCACCTACTTTTTTTTTCCTTAGCAATACCGATTATGAATGTATAACAAAATCATCAACTAAGTTATGAACATGGATGAATTTGTTTTTTTTGTGTTTTCAAGTTTGAATCCTGTAATTACTAATATAATAATTATTAAAAATTTATATAATTATTAATTTTAAAATTTATAAAATAAATTAAGATACATACAAATTAATCCCATACTCATATTAATAATAATAATAATAAAAAGTTATGAGCATTGATTATATTTTCATGGATAATTAATCCAAAGACAAAAGTTGTTGCCTAACCAAGACTTTCACACCTCTCCATATTTCAGAGTCAAAATTGGTACCTGCTGCTAACTGATGGCCATGTCTTTCCATTATTTGTTTTGCGACTATCTACAGGGAAAATTGAAGAATGTAAAGACTGTTTCAGGACATTTTACAGCTTCGTGTACCTTTTAAGCAAATATTTGAAACCGCATGTAAGTCTTCTCCTAGATTTCTTCTATGATCATTACACTCTGTTTTTTTTTTAAAAGATGGCAGTAGGTTCGAGTTCCGGGAATCGTAGGGGTGTTTGTTATTATTGTCAAAACGTTGTTCGTTTAAAATTTAATTTAATTTTTTTAATTGTTAAAAAATAGTTTTTTACTTAATGTTCATTTTAGTTGCTATATTTCAAAAAAGAAAAGTTATATTGGTCCTTATATGTAATATTTTTGACAAATAAGTGCTCACTGTAAGTTTTTTTTGGGTCATTTTATACTTTTACACATAGTTTTAAAACCCGGCCCGGCCCGGCGGGTCATTTTATACTTTTACAAGCACCTTCTTGTCCTTGAGTTAATTTTTTAATTAAACCACATCACGTTAAAATATATATTTTTCAGTGGGTTTTTAATGGCTATTTAATTAACCTAAAAAGAGGCTGCTTGATGAGTCTGGGAAGGGTTAAAATATACGCATACGCTCTAACATAAAATCTCAACATGTTAAAATATATATATATTTTGGGATTTGATTCTGTAAGGTCTCAATATGACTGATTCATTAATAATAGAACAAGAACAAGAATAATAATGGATATTTTGGGAATCACATTATCCATTCATCTTAAACAATAACATCATCTTTGGTTCGTTTATCATAATTTTAAAAAGTTTTAAAATATTGCTTTATAAAAAATTAAAATAGGACGCCGGTTCACCACTCCAAACAAGCTCGGCCCTATCACTCAAATGGGCTACCCATTCCGATATAGCACGCTGAAAAAGTTTGGCCTCCTAAAACGAAATAAAATAAAAGGACGTTAAAAATCTATGCTGCAGGCAGTTTTTGTCCCCCTCGCTCATGCTCTTGTTCTTCTTACAAAACCAGCCAATGCAGTAGTGTTTTCCCCAGTTTACTAATTTCAACAGGTAGTGAGTGCTAATTGGCTTAATCAACTAAGTCACTTAGAACTAGTAGGGCTTTGGTCTAATGATGATGAGCTTTTTACATTGGTTTGCAATAAGGTCCTCGGTTCTAGCTCTCTCTTTCTAAAAGGTTATCTGATTAATATGGGTGGGAAGCTAGGGGGATTAAATTTCACTAATTAATATTTTCTTTCATCGAGGAAAGTGGAACCATGAATTAATATATGGCACAAACTTGGATCGTCTAGAAAATCTTGGAGGAGAAAGATAGGACCATAACTACTAACTCGCTCTCCATTGGCAATGGATGGGTTTGGCTTGAAAAACAACCATTAATTTCTTTCTTTTCTGCTATTTATCAAGTGGAAGGTGTGGCTTGTTAATAAGAGAATGCCATTGTGGAGAAAGTGGGAAATGGAGAGGCAGAGATGAGAGATGGCTGGAGGGGTTCTAGTTCCAGAAGTCATGTCGCAGCAATTCAGCATGACATGTCTTCGGTTTTGGTTGTTTTTGGTTTGAGAACTGAATCTTTCCTCTGCTCAAAATAGGTGTCCATGCATGTAGGTTGCTATATTGGATGGCATTACAATGGGTGGAGGAGCTGGGATTTCAGTCCATGGGTCATTTCGTATTGCTACTGATAAAACTGTAACGTCTCAGTAAATCTTCCATAATATTTATCCTCTTTCACTTTCCTCTTATCCTGTTTACTCCTTTCTTGGTTTGTCTGATGATATGTATAGTTTCTATAGTTTTGAACTTGACAATTTCTTGCTATGCAGATGGTGTGATCTAATCAAATTACTTTTTTTCCTTTTTCCCCTCTAATGTAAAGAATGGGATGCGCATAATTTGAGTTTCATTTGAAAGCCAGAAACTTCAGGGTGTCATAGTTTATGTTCTTCAGAACTTCATTTCATTTCATAAGATTTTAGTTCTTCAATCTGAGTAAAATTCCCCCCAAGTTGATATCACATTCTCAGCAAAAACTGCAGGTTTTTGCCACTCCTGAAGTTCTTATTGGCCTCCATCCTGATGCTGGCGCTTCCTATTATCTTTCACGCCTACCTGGATTCTTAGGCAAGTTCTCTAGCTGCTTTTTGATGTGATATTTACTTTTTTCATGCTTATGCTTAGGCAAGTTCTCTAGCTGCTTTTACTAAACTGATGTGATATTTACTTTTTTCATGCTTACCAATTAACTCGTTCAGCTCGAATCATCACATGCAGCATCTTCTTGCAGGCTTTTTAGTTAGATTTGTGCTTTGATGCGTATTTCCTTTCCCTTGCATTCATTGTCCAAAAGAGATGGTTGCCATGTTTTCATGGTAAATCTCTCCCTGCTGTTTGCTAATGCCTAAAAAATTTTGCATTCATTGTCCAAAAGAGATGGTTGCCATGTTTTCATGGTAAATCTCTCCCTGCTGTTTGCTAATGCCTAAAAAATTATGTTGTTTACCCCTTTATTTGGGGGATTTCTACAGGGGAATATCTAGGTCTAACTGGAGATATGCTTAGTGGAGACGAAATGCTTGCTTGCGGGCTAGCTACCCATTATTCACCCAATGCAGTTTGTTCTTCCTCTATGTTTTTCTTATTATCGGTTTCTTCTATCTATTTTAGTCAAATGATATCAAATCTTCCTCTTCTTAACAGAGTGTCCCTCTCATTGAAGAGCAGCTTGGTAAATTAGCTGCAAAAGATTTTTCTGTCATGGAAAGTTTTTTAACTAGTTTTTGCCAGACTGCAAATCCGAGCGAAAGAAGTGTTCTTCACAGGTAAGCCAGTACCGTAGAGTACACACGCATATATAGACTTTGAGGACACTACATGTATATACATCGTTGTCCCCTGGTTTTCTATTCCACTCGGGATTATTCCAATTTATACATTTCAATGGCTTCCAGAAGAAGTGAAGAACAACTATAGATTGTAGATCATAAGAAAACTGAGGAGCAGACAAGAAATGGCTTACCCAGATATGCACTGGAATGTCACAGAAAAATGCACATGCATGTCTATAATCTTGAAAGTCAGATATAAAATAATGGGAGTCATTCAACTTAACTGATAAAGTGACGCAGACAGAAAAACAAAAGATAGAAAGAAAGAATGACAGGATTGATGCGAAAAGATTTTACACATAAGAACCCTAATCTGTTCTTTAACGAACGAAATTGAACCAAACACATCTTCATGATCTAATTTATGGATTTTCTTAAGCATGGCCAGTTATAGCCAGCAAACCTCCTACAAAATTGGGCATGTCTAATCAATTCATAAAATTTGACCCTCATCGATCGAAAATTATGGCATTTTTATTATTACAACTTAAACCTTGTGAGAAAACCATTATAGACAAGGCATAATTCGTTGTGGATTGCAACGATGAAATTATACCTTTTTCTTTATCAATAAAAATCATTAAATTAGCTTTGAGGGGTAAATGAATCTTCTTACAAAATCAATAGATCATTCTTGGATTGATTAAGAGCATCTTGGTTTTTTCCTCCATTTTTTTCAATAGCTAAATTACTTGATTACTCTTAAAAGGAAACAAAATAAAAACTTAACTATGGTGTAGGGGCTTTTTTGACATTTTATCTTTTAAACACAATGTAATAACTCTATTGCCTTATAAATCAAAATTCTCAAAACTAAAAGAAAAAAACACTTAACTACGGTGTAGGGGCTTTTTTGATATTTTACCTTTTAAACACAATGTAATAACTCTTGCCTTATAAATCAAAATTCTCAAAACTTTACTGGAGATAATAAATGTGGATGGAAATAATAAATTTACCTTTATATCCTTTTAAAATTTCACAATTACCCTCTTTTAATTATTATGGATTATATGTTTTTTGAAATGAAGAAGGTTATTGTAGTTTTTTTATAACTTTTTTGCATAGTTAAATTATTGGAATGCCTTTAAAAGCAAAACAACACTTTACTTAGGTCTAAGGATGTTTTTTCTTTAAATTTCAGTTTTCAAAATTACTATATTACCCTTAAAATCAAAATATTTAAAACTTGATGTCAGGTGCTTATTTGTAATATTATATTGGTTTTTTTTGTTTTGTTATAATAATCTAGTCTTAAGGGTAATTTGATCTTTTAAATGATATCAATAATAATTAAAAAAAAGTTGGTGATGGTTGTGTTTGGGTCCTTTTTTAAATTTATTTTTTTTATTTTTAGACTTTAATATTTTGTTCATTATAACTAGTCTTTTTTAATTTTTTTTTATAGATTTTGCATATTAATCATGGTTGAACTTGATTGATCTATCTTAATATTTTTTAAAAAAAAATTTACATAATCTAATATCTTATTACTATTTAAGTATTTTAAAAGTATTTTGGCTGATATACATTAGACTTTTACTTCCTGGCATCTTTATATTTTTTCTTAAGATTGAAAAAAAAATTGACCCATGCTGTAGCATGGTATAAAAAAATAGTATCAAAACGTTGGTTTGGCATTCATATGCCTCTTCTTCAGCTTGCTCCGTCTTATTGGTTCATAAATGAGTATACTAAGCTTTTTGCATGATATCTTTGTGATGGATCTCCAATTAACTGTTTAGAAATATTATATTTGTTTGACCCACCTCCATCGTCAAGCTATTTACCATTGTTTGTATAGATTTTGAAATCGAGTTTTACTCACACCTAAAGGTTATTTTAAAACCCATCATCCTTACCCGACGAGTTAGCTTGTGACCTAAACGATCTAAGATATAGACTGGGCTGGTTTTCAATAAAAATAAAAGGAGAATTGACTAGGTGTGACACGGTAAAAAAACCCAAATTGATTCTCGACTTAGTCAATCCAGGAAAAGCTCAGTTAAAACACTATAAAAAATTGTTTATTTTTGTCTTTTTAATTTTTTTATGATATTGAGATACAGTTACCATTGCAGCCATGCTACGTAGAAAACTTCAACATCTTTTAAATACAACAAAACAGATTCTCACAGCATCTTTTGATACGAGGGAGAATTGAAAGCATATTCATAGACTCATGATGATATCTCATATACTTAGAATCGGCAGCTGACTGAAATTATATAGTTAATAATTAATATGCCTATAAATTTTCTCAAGCAGTGCAGTGCAGAAGTCCGGCTTGGCTTCCTAGGTAGTTTTTGTCTGACACCCCCCTCCCAACGCACACCCACACAAAAAACGAAAAACAGAGATGGGATCAAGAACTCTGGCCTGTATGTAATTAAAGATCTGTTGCCGCCAAGCTTTGATTATGAATGTTCATCCTTCCCAAGGGATTCATGCCTTTTTATGTGTGTAGAATTGAGACTATGTTTGTATTCGTCCTTCAAAACTATACTTGCTTGAGGTTCCACATTTTGTTTTTGGATTTTTGGTATGGTATTTATATGGTCCTATTTACTTTGCATCTACTATGTTCAGGATGAATACGCTAAATAAATGTTTTGGTCATGCCACAGTCGAGGAAATTGTTGACTCTCTGGTAAGATTTCTTTTCCCAGAAAGAATCTACAATAGGTTTTACATTAATGCAAAGCCAGAGTGATGGTTCAATGTGGGAGAAGAGTGACAGTTCATGAATAGGCATAACAGTTCCCGTGCTCTCATTCGTTTTTGCTATCTTTACTGAGAAATGATTCTCGTTCATAAACTAAACAAATTACACCAACTGCTTATAAGTTGCTAGATTCTCATGGTGTTTTTACTTTATTGAGTGGTAAGAACATAATTGGACCGCAAATTGAAGAGCCAGCCGAGATTATCTCGACTTGAAAAAAGGTTTGGTAATGGTCACCAGTTTTCAGTTTTCTTCGTTCACATTTTAACTATGTGCTGAAACTGAAATTGGAAATTTATGTGTGCTTCAGTGTCCTTGTGTTTAAATTCACCTTTCCAAGTCCTAAGGGTTGGGAAGTTACTTGTTCTCTTCTTCAGTGTATTAGAATAATGAGTGCATTTCAACAACATTTCTCAGGAAAGTGAAGCAGCCAGAACGAAAGATGACTGGTGCATTTCAACAGTTCGAAAACTAAGAGAAGCTCCGCCTCTGAGCTTGAAGGTTTCCCTGAGATCTGTAAGTTCTGAGTAATTGCTCAAGCAGCACAACGCTTAAAACGGCTCTGGTTAATCACTTAATCTACTCTACTTGTCTTCCTCATGCTCTAATAGCTTGGTTTATCTACTTTGTTAGATACGAGAAGGTAGATTTCGGACACTTGAACAATGTCTTGATCGCGAGTATCGGATGACTCTTCGAGCAATTTCTAGACAGATCTCCAATGACTTCTGCGAGGTAAAATCGAGATTCTTCTTTCAGATAGCCCACTTATCCTGGATTTTCATAATAAACGAATATATTTCATCTGAACCATGCATGCTTGGTTAGGGAGTTCGAGCAAGATTAGTTGATAAATGCTTTCCACCCAAGGTATCTTCTTTATCCTTCGACTGAGAATTTATGGTGAGCTAAACCTTTGATTGGTCATGGACTGATTTTTTTTTTTAAATAATACACATGGAGTGGTATCCGCCTTGTTTGGAACAAGCAACCGATGACATGGTGGATGCATACTTTGCACTGCCTGATGCATATGAGCCTGGCCTAGAGTTACCTTCTAGTTATGAGAAGCCTTTGCCTAAGTCTTTATTTAATGGCAGAGTACAAGATATGGTACCCTAGATCCTGCTCTCGGAGGTTTGATTCAAGAAACCAGCTTCAATTTTAGAATGGCTACCATTGGATTATTTAGATCGGCCTTGTAGATCTACTATATCAACTTTGTTGTAATTTGGCGGATAAATTAGACAATTAGTATGGAAAACCCAAATAAATAAGAAATTACATTTAAATAAAAAGTTTCAATGAAATAGTGTATTTTTAGAAATTGTTGTCGTCACATGTAATTACTGCATCTATTTAAATTCATAATTAATTGATTGAATAGTTTATTAGAAAAATCATAAAATTATCAAAATCAAGAACAAGGAGCAAAATTTTTTAAATATAAAAATAACAATATTTAGAAACTCACATAAAAAATTAATTACGGTTCAAAAATTAGATAAAAAATTATGGTTCTTTGAGCCATTATTCTGGTTTCACGCGACGAGATCTCTTCTTGAGCTTATATCTATCTTACTAATTCATAAATGCATTTACTAGGTTATTCATATAATTTGTTTGAGGCAGATTTTCATTTATTTATAGTATACTTACACATGACTGCTCAGAATTATCTATTATCGCAAGTACGACTATTTTTCTAGCATTGAAAAACAGAGGACAATTACAATGTAGACAATAACTTGAGATCATAAAATGTAATTGAAAAAAAAAATATAAAATAATAATATTTGTGTGAATTAATTGATTGGGTCATATAACTAGATTAATCAGTAAACCGGTTGAGCCAAATAATTTAAGATTTATATTATCAGGCTTCTGAAGCGCAACGATATGAAAATATCACTATTTTAAAGTGTAACAACTATCTTATAATATTTAAAAATAATAATATTTAGTAAATATTATATTTTTAAAGCAAGATAAAATAAAAATACATTATTCAACCATGTCTTTTTTAAAATATGTTTTTTAACTATAATTTTTAAAAAACTCTACTAATTTAGAAAATATGCCAACTTGCCCATGAAAAATTGTTTTGGTGGTAGAATTCCTCGGTGGAAAGAGCCAAAAACAGTGGCCACGTATATCACTACGTAAAATTCAACTTATAATTTGTATGGAAGTGATTAGAACAATGAATAGGCAGCGGTAATTTTGCGAAAATAGAGTCGTCGTCGTCGTCGCACAAGCTGTGGGAGGGCGGCGAAGGATATGTTTTTTCTTTTTCCTTTTGCTTTTCAAAGAGTTTTTTTTTTTTTTTCCAGCACAGGTCCTGACATTGTGCAAGGCTAATACGACACAGGAAGCTGAAGGGTCCATAAAGTTGAAATTCACAACGACAATGGTAATACCTCAAGGTGGTCCATGGACAACAACAGCAATAATGATAATAAAAAATTGCAAAATAATTTATTTTAAAAACTGATCTTGAATTAGCTTGGAAAAAACGGTGTATTCACATAACCGGTTCAATAATGATAAATTGAAGATCATGTGGCTCAGACTGTACTCCATCATGATTGGAAGGCTCGGTTTCGTCGCATCAATCAAGAGGGTAATTGTTGTGTGGATTGATTGGCTGATAAGGATTCTCCTCCTGAAGAATTCCTTGTAGTTTTTGTTCTTGAGCCTTATGCGCCTCTGTCTACCAAAGAAAGAAAAACACACGTGAATTCTCTCTCTATTTTTGACACGCTTGAAGTTCCACTATAAAAAGTGGGACTCTGTAGAATTTTGTTGAATGGCCTGAAGTGTGACCGTCCGGCAATGTTCTTTGATGACGGTCTAGCTTTATTTGATCCAAGGTTCCACCTGCATGTGGAGATAAGGATATCTTTCTACTTTCTCGGCGACTTCTTTCCTTCGATTTGAAAACTTGAGTCCATACCGAATACTTGTCAATTTCTGCTATGCAATGTGCAGGTGGAGCAGCTCAGCTTGCTCGGTACCATGTGGCCAAGAAAAGTAGTCATTTGTGGATTTCTTATTCGAAGTGCAGGACAAAGGGCGAGATGACAATCACACCTCTTGTACATAGAATCTGTTAGTGTCTCTTCACTGTAACAGCTACAATTGCAGGAACATCTCCACGAATTAAACATAAAAATAAAAAAGTTGTTTCGAATCTGTATTTGGTGATCAAACATAATGCTTAGACACTAATTGTTTATTGACATGGTAAACAGGCAAAACCTAAGACAATGATATGAGATATGGGTTTGACAAAAAATCACAATTTTTATTTTTAAAATATAAACATTAAACCGAAGAGGATGATCAATGTTGAGTTAAGTTTTTAACTCATTTACTTTGGGTATATTTAAAATCATAGTTTTAATACTCGGCCCAGTTCAATGCCGGGGTTTCGGGTTTTTACCAGGTCACCGGGTTGGTTGGGTCAAATTTTATTTTTTTAAAAAAAATCAAAATAACATTAGACTCGGTCCAGTTCAAGGCCGGGGTTTCGGGTTTTTACCAGGTTACCGGGTCGGTTGGATCAAATTTTATTTTTTTTTTAAAAATCAAAATAACATTGTTTAAAAAAAAAAACAAAGTTAACGGGTTTGCAACTGAGTCTTGCCGGGTCAACCCGCCATGTTACACCAGGTTTTTTCTTCATTTTTTTTTAAACCGGCCCGGTTCTAGCCCCAGGTCGACAGGTCCCGAGTCAACCTGCCAGACCAGGCCGGGTTTTAAAACTATGTTTAAAATAGACACTAAAACCACCACCTACACTTAATGGGCTTTGACAGAATCACGTTGACCATGCCTAAATCTACTTACCATGATAAGGAAGAATATATCATGAGACTCGAAAAATTCCTAGTATGTAGTCTCATGTATGAAAAAAAAAATACATACATAGCATAAAAGAACGTTATATTTTCTTTTATTTTATAAAATATTGTCACCTTGAAAGTAATTTTTTCTATAAGATAATAGATTATTGTACGATGGAAAAAGGAATTAAAAAGGTATTCCTAAGACACTTCTCAACTCATGAAAATAAATTTTAAAATCATAACGTATTAATCTATTGGTTTTCCTAAGATATACATATGTAACAAAAATGATAAATATAATTTTTTTTTAGAGTCTCAATAATTCTATTAAACAGATCTAGAGTTGGTTAAGATTTATACAAAAATTATTTGAAGATCAAATGTTCTTTTCAGTTTTGAATAATTGCTTCAAGGCTGGTTTGTTGCAAATCACAAGTCATCCAAGTATCTGAGATCTAATGATAATTTACACGAATCACCAATAAAAAATCTCTTAAATCTTTTTTTATAAGAGAGGGATTGCTATATTTTTAATGTTAACACTTTTTTTATATTTTTCAAATCTCATTTCACATTGTACAAGAATTTACAATCAATACTATTTGAGAACAGCTGTCCTAATTCATCTAGGATGATGAATCCTTTCTTTATTACTCAAATACCTTCATATAATTCATGTTATACTTAATATATGCCCATTTATTACCCTAATTAGAGAAACATGCAGTAGAATCAAAATATAACATTCACTATATAAGATAATTTAGTGATCTAAAGTTTAAAAATTATTTACATTACTATTTACATGAGCCTTTCTATAAACACGAGTGATCTCTTCACATGAAATTCTCATGCGATTTAGTTTAGTGTATATATCATATAACAAACACTTTTATATTAGTTTTAGGTATTCTTCATACCTCAGCTTATGAGAATAGCTATTTCTTTTCATAAAAAAAAATATTAGTTTTAATAGCTTTAATTATTATTAAGTCTTAATAAAGAATTGACTAGAAACATTTTATGAATAATGTTTTGATGTAATAAGAATTCTATAATTATAACAACTTTATAATTTTATTTACAAAGCATTTTTGTCATAAGAACTTTATCTTTACTCTAAATTCATTAATTAAATATTAGATTCATTAATTAAATATTTGATGAATATTGAAGATAAATAAAGCTTTTATTAAAAATTAAATATGTTTACTTAAATAAAGTCAATGCCAAGTGTTACCAACTTATTAGTTACATGGCATATACACTACCATAACAAATATCATAGAAAATAAAGATCATTTTTTTATTATTATATATGAAAATAGATCTTTAGCAAATAAAACAAGGACACAGATGAATATAAAAATCAAACTTTTATACATGTGAAAAAATTCCTACCGTTTATTTTAGAGAATTCATCATATAGAATAAAATAAATAAACCCTACATAAAAAAATCTACCTTTTACACTTAAATTAAACTCACCTTATAAACATATAAGATATCCATCATCTATGCATAGAAATTGATACTAATAGATTCAATGACAAAATAATACTCGAATAATTATTGGAGCAAAATCATCCATATAGAAAATTAACATAACCCCCACATAAATCAAATTCACAAACACACCATATCAAAACATCACAAATAAACTATCACAATTACAAATCATTTAGCATACATTAATGTGTTAGGGTTTGAAATCGACCTCTAAGGATGGCTAGAGTTGATCAAAAATTGGTGAAACAAGGTTGGGAAATGTCTGCCTGAGCACTTTATCAATCCCAATGTAAAATAGAACCTCCAAAATTAAAGAAAAATTATGGAAAATAGAGTCATCGTCTAGAACATTACGGATACTAAGAATCCTAAAATATATGCTAGTTATAAAGTCATCACCATTTACACATTTGTTATATGTATGCCATCTATTGGTTCAAATTATTTTTTATTTAAAAATTATTTATTATTGATCTATTTTTTATCTAGTTAGCATTAAATTCTAGATTATAAATCTCATAATTCAATGATTTTTTTTATAAAAAACATCATGCTAGGCCTATATCGGTCCCTAAATTAGGAGACTCATCTACCTATCTGTTTAAAAATTATGAATAAACTTGATGAAATCTTAACAAAAACTTATTGATGCATTTTTTATGGCTCCTTTTAGGTTAAAAAACCAAGCATTAGTTCCATGTTGATCCCTAAAACTAGAAGACCTGTCAACCTAACGATTTAAAAAAATTAAATGAAACTTGAAAAAAAACACCTTCAGAGCATTTTTAGACTATTTTTTAAGTTTTAAAAACAAGTATTAGAATCATATTGATCCCTAAAACTAGGAGACTCGTTGATCTAACCATTTAAAATGCTTATACAAAACTTGATGAAAACTAACAATGCATTTTTAAGCTCTTTTAAGTTTAAATA